GCGTCCGGGAACCCGACCTCGAGGCCGCCATTATGTCGCGCCCGAAGCGGAGCCGGGGATTGGTCAGCCGGGCGGGGGGCGGGGCGCGCAGAGGAGCGGCGGCCGCCGAGAACCGCAGCCCCGGTAGCCGGCGTCCCGGAGCTCCGCCGAGTCCCTGCAGGTCCTCGCTGGGAGAGCCCCTCGGACCCGGAGCCCGAAGGACGTCTGGGCCGAAGGCCGGAGTGAGAGAAGGCGAGCTCCGTTTCCCGCCGAGGGGGAAAGAGGGAGCGGGCGACGGGTAATGGCGCCAGCGGCTTGAAGTGGACAGAGCTCTGCTCCCCGCTCTGGGGTCCTGCTCCGCCGCGTGGAGTCGCCCCACCTCGCCGGCGGCCCTCCCGGGGCAGGGCTTTGGCCTCACCTGGGTCTTGGGGACAAAGTGCTGGGGCAGAGGCTGTCACTACTGAGACCTTCACTGCTGGGAAACTCGCACCAGTTCGGTATCATTTGAGTTTCTGCCAGCTCCAGGCAGGCCACCTGTGGTTTTGCTCTAACCGAGACAGACTGAACTGGCAGCCCTTGGTGAGGAACGTGTATGCAGTGGGGATTAGCAGTGTCAGGACCGAGAGTTTCATGTTTCAGTAGTAAAAGCTGATAAACAGTCTCCTCCTTTCCGCCTTGATTATGATCAGGTGCAGCACCGAGAAGAAAAGCGACCCTGCGAGCCGCAGTGGGCATCTGGCTCCGGTGACCTGATGAGCATAAGCAATGTCCTACAATATTGACAGATGAGGTCCCTCTCTGACTAGATGAAAGACGAAAAGAATAGTCACGTCTGAACAGATAAAAACACTCTGTGCAGCCACAAAAAGATAACCAAATGCCCCTTCACTAGCTAACCTGACTACTCCAATGACTACTCTAGGCCTGCTTTCTAAATAAAAGTTATTAAGCTAATTACTGAATTGTCCCTGCTCCCTTACAGCACCAGAGCAGATCCCTGTTTCCTTGGACCCTTCCCAAAATCACCTAACAAGCCCAAATGCTGTTAAGCCCTCTAACACCCCCTTCCAATTATAGCAACTGTTGAGCCTTCATTGTTTGACCATAACTATGTCTGTGGTAGTCTTTGGTAGACATCACCAGTATGGATGAATTTATATATTTGAATTAACCATACACAAAATCTTAGAGCCTATAACCACTTAGAAATAAACCAAGCGATGTAAATAGTAAAATAGGGCAAGACCCTGGCTGGTGTGGCTCAGTTGGTTGAGCATCCTCCCACTCACCAAAAGGTTTCTGGTTGGATTCCTGGGAGATACCCAGGTTGTGGGTTCGATCCTTGGTCGGGGTGCATGTGGGAGGCAACTGATCGATGTTTCTCACATCGATGTTTGTGTCTCCCTTTTCCTTCCTCTCAAAAAATCAAAACTGTTTTTAATTTTTTTAAGTCTTGTATGCTAGATGCAATGTTGGGTTGTGGGTTGGATTTTAAACAGTAAGATATTAATGGTAAAATTAAAGTTTGTAATTTAAGAGTATTGTACCAATGTGAATTTCTTAGTTTTAACAAGTGTGCCATGGTTATATCAGACATTAAATATAGAAGAAATGGTGAAGGGTATACAGGAGCTCCCCGTACTATTTTTGCAACTTTTCTGTAGATTTAAAATTATTCCAAAACAATTTTACTTTAAAAAACTTATGCACAATTTATCCTTCAGGGAGGAGGGTAATTTTTCTTGTAACTGGGGTGGTGGTGATGGTTATTGCATCTTGAGTGACCCAGGTATGAGTGACAGAAATGTAGTCATAACAAAAGCTTTTCTGCCTCAATTCCAGTTTTTGGCTTTTCCCTACCTGACTATTCAAGGATCTTCTCTGGGTTCCCCACACACTCCTTCAACCCCTCTGGACACGTGGCCATCAGTCACTGAAAGTGACCACACTTGGTCTTGGTCCTGCCCCACTATTTTGTTGTCACAGAGGTGAAAATTCCAGAACCCCTGACTGCTTTCAGAGCGGGAATAAGCTGTAAACCTGTATGAACCACAGAGGAACAGGAGAAGTTGTCAAGGCAGCAATGTCAAATCAAAGGAGAAGGAAGGAAATTGCAAACACATTAACACATCTGAGCTTTGCTTGGTGTGGCATTGTCCCCCAAACCCCAGCCTTAACCCCAGGCACAGCAATTAGTCAACTCTGTAATGGAAAGCCTCGGGCTATGATAAACCAAGACCTAGAAAATAGGATACCCAAGCCTGGACACCAGACAGTCACCAGGGGTCTAGATATAACAGATGGCCCAGCTTTTTGCAGTAACCATGGACAGAAATTTTTATTCAGGGAATTCTCCCACAGTAAAGGAATGAGAGATGTAAATACTAACAGCGGAAGAGAGGGTGAAGAGGGTTTGTTTGACTTACAACAATTGGGACTCCGAGAAAAGAAGTTTGTCTCCCAGAATCTGGTGGCTTTCATTATGTGGGAGTGGAGGCTAGTAGCCACATTTTAAAAGTAAAAAGAAAGTAACATTAATTTTAATATTTGAGTCAATATATCCAAAATATTTTATATGTAATCAATACATAAAATTATTAATGAGACTTTTTTTTTTCCTATATTAAATCTTTGACGCCTGGTGTGTGTTTTCTACTCACAGCACATCTCAATACAGATGCTAAATTTTTATTGGGAATACTTAATGTATAATTAGAGTTCATAAAATTTACAGTTGAAAAAATAGATTCACATATCCACATTGTTCCAAACACACTTAAAAGTTTTCCAATAACTGAACTGAATGTCAGTTTTTAAATTTAAATTAAGGCGCCCTAGCTGGTTTGGTTTAGTGGCTAGAGCATCGGGCCTGCAGACTGAAGGGTCCCAGGTTTAATTCCAGTACCTCAGTTTCAGGTTCAATCCCAGGGAACGTTCACGAGGCAGCCAATAGATGTGTCTCTCTCACATCAATGTCTCTCTGTCTCTTCCCCTCCCACTCTCTAAAAAAAATCAATGGAAAAAACATCCTCAGGTGAGAATTAACCTCTCCCCCCCCAAATTTTTTTAAATTAAGGCAAGGATGTGGAGAATTGGAACTTGTTTGTGTTGCTGATAGGAATGTAAAATGGTGCGGCTGCTATGGAAAAAAGTATAGCTATTCTTCAAAAAATTAAAAAATTACCATATGATCCAACAATTCTATTTCTGGGTATGCACTCAAAATAATTGAAGGCAAGGTCTCAAAGAGATTATCTGTAAACCAGTGTTCATTGCAATATTATTTACAATAGTCAAAAGGTGGAAGCACCTGGGCGGGCGTGGCTCAGCATTTGAGCTTGGACCTACGATCCAGGCAATCGGGGTTCGATTCCCAGTCAGGGCACATGCCCGGGTTGTGGGCTTGATCCCCAGTCGGGGGCGCGCAGGAGGCAGCCGATCAATGACTCTGTCATCATTGATGTTTCTATCTCTCTCTCCCTCTCCTTTCCTCTCTCTGAAATCAATAAAGATATATTTTTTTAAAAAGTATTACCTTTAAAAATAAAATTTCTAAAAAAAAAAAAAAGGTGGAAGTAACCCGGGTGTTCATTGACAGATGAATGGATAAACAAAATGTGGTAAAGCCCTGGCCAATGTGGCTCGGTTGGGCGTCCTCCCACACACCAAAAGGTTGCTGGTTCAATTCCTGGTCAGGGCACGTGCCTGAGGTGCAGGCTAGATCCACAGTAGGGGGTGTACAGGAGGCAGCTGATGGATGTTTCACCTCACGGATGTTTTTCTCTCTCTAAAAATCTATTTTAAAAAATAAAGTCTGTAAAAAAAAAAAAAGATGGTAAATTTTATGTTGTGTATTTTACCACAAATCAAAAAGTGAGGCCCTGGCCAGTGCGTTCAGTGGTTAGAGCATCAGCCCGAGCATCGAAGCGTCCGGGGTTCAATTCCCTGTCAAGGGCATGTATGTACCTGGGTTGCAGGTTCGATCCCTGGCCATGGTCGGGGTGTGTGCAGGAGGCAAGTAATTGATGTGTCTCTCTCACATTGAGGTTTCTCTCTCTCCCCCTCCCCCACCTCCCTGCCTTCTACTCTCTAAAAATCAATGGATAAAATATCCTCGGGTGAGGATTAACAACAGAAAAATTAATTAATTAAATTAAAAGTGAAGTCTTTAGTCACAGTAGCCACATTTCAAGTGCTCTCAACAGCCCTGTGTAGCTAAG